CAAATTATAAAATTCGGTTCAGAAAACCATTGTTATATTAATATATATATATATTTAGTAAGTAATCAACAAACAATTCATTTAAATCTAAAATAATACCAATATTACTGATGCTTCTTCAACTTCTTCAATTTCTTCAACAAGAGATGCAATTATTGCTCAGGTAAAAATTTTTTTTTGAATTTTACAATATTTATACTATATAAATAAATATAAAATAAAAATATTTTTGTAAATAAAATTATAAATATACATTAAAATAAAGATTTTTCGAATTGTATCAAATTATATATTCGAATCCGTTCGAATCGAGTCAAATCAATTCGAATTCGAATCCGTTCGAATCAAATTATATATTCGAATTCGATTTGAATGAAACGAATCAAAAATTAAGTGATTCGATTCGATTCGAATTGATTCGAATTTCATTGATTCGTTCGGAGCCTTATATTAGATGAATTAGATAAATTAGAAGAGGGTCTATTGATTCTGGGAAAGGATAATTAAAATAAAAAATTTTCTTATTTTTTAAAAATAAGGAATCAAATAAAAAATGGTTCGAAATACTGTATGCCTAAATTTGTGCAAGGAGTTGACGCGTCCTAACCAAATTTAGATCACAAATCTCAATATATGGGAGGTCTTCCTTTCGGGCTTGGAGGGTTTCTTTGTTGGCTAGTTTCAGGTCATAATCTAATTGCCCTTTTCTTTTACCGGTCTTTCTTATTCTTTCGGCTATTTCTTGGACCGAGCCAATTAAAGAATAAGTGGTGTAGTTTTCGGGGTGGGGTTCGTAATTAATTCGTCCTTTTGATTCTTTCAGTTGACCCCATTGAACCTACTAATACATTTAATTCTTCCTTTTTTTCCTTCTCTTCTAATACATTATCATTCAGCATTTCCCGTAAGGACTCTGGTCACAAGGTCTGATCAACAATAAAGGTTCGCTATAAGGATTTGAAATCCGTGTATTCCTTTTTTGGAATTTTTGTATATATAATAAATGTGATTTTGAAATTTTGTACAATGAATATTTTTACAAAATATACGCTAAAAAAGTCTCAATCTGTACAATACAACTTTTATAAAGTAGATGCATTTTGCTTTCAACTTCACAGTTAATTTTTTTAAAAAAAGATTTCTATTTGTAATAGCTTTTATCAATTATTTTCAAACTTTATTAATACTTTTGCCAGGAAAATATTTATAAATTATTTCAGTAAATATTTTTTATGCTTTAAATTTAAACAGTTTTTTAATAAAGGTCATTATGCAAACTATAATGTTGACTAATTCAATAAAATATCTGTTTTCATTTGAACGCCATCCATAAAATCTGATTTTACAATTTCTAAAATTACAAATATTAATTGGCTAAAATCGTACAGATCTTTCATTGGAAAAATGATTTTTGATTTTTTTATACGAAGAAAAACTTGGCGAGAGCTTTATTAAATGGTCATACAACTTCCAAAGCTATGGGTCATGCATATTTTAACTGCTTTATAAGCCTACCAAAAAATAGTCAATAGTTTCAAATTATAATCACAAAGTTACCAGGAAAAATGGGCTCCCGGATTTAACATTCAAAATCTATCATGTCTTTAAAGTTGGTGTCTACAACTGATTTGAAATTCTGAACCCAGTTGCAACCCATGTTGAAACATCCTAAATTGCAACTTCTTAGTTGCAGATACCAACTTTACACGCCTCAATAATTCTTGGTTTAAATATCACTTTTGACCCGTGATGGATAGTTTATTAACTTATTAAATTAATATCATAAATTTCCCTTTATTATAAATAGAATAAAATAAATAAAGTCAGTAACAACCATTGTGTTATTAAATAAATAAATTTACGTTTAATAATATTATTAATGAGAATAAATTTTGCAAAAGTATTCTTTTGGGACACATTCTAATTCAGGGTTGGGAATCGTACACGTACACATGCACATATCGTACACGTACGTACGTATGAGCTTAAAATTTTTTTAGTACATTGTACGAACATATCATGTGATTTATGATAATTTTATTGGTTGATCAAATGTAATATATATCACAGCGAACTATAATAATAATCAAACTCTTGTCATAACGGATTTTTAAAAATTTTTCTTCGCATATCACATGTAAAAACACATAAAAATCTGCTGTGGCAAGATTAGTATTAGTATTTAGTAATCTTTCCACAACGGATTTTAAATAAAATTTGTTTATGTGTACCGTTCATCCGCTGTGGCAAGGTTTGACTATATTGTGGAATTAACTACATACTGTATATGATTGAAGATATTTAATACTGCTATTAATTATTTTAAATTGATAATATAATTAACAAGAATGTAAAGATAATTTTTTTATTTTATTATAAATAAATAGAAAAAAAAATTTAGGAATCACGGTAATAATAATACTACTAATACTACTAACAATAATGCACCCAGAATAATGTAAGTATAATATGATAATCAGGGTTTTTTCTGATAACGAAATAGTATTACGATCTGTTACGACCTTTAATTATAGTAATCGTAATAGTAATAGAGCTGACAAAGAAAAAATTTTTTTTTTAATTGAATTGATAGTGCATATACTATTACTATCGGTTATATTTGTTCAAATTTGCCAGTTAAAAGATTTCACGTGATTAAATTAACTGATTAATAAAAAGTTAACCGATTGAAGAATTTTTGCGCGATGCCAACCTCTAATTAAAAAACAAGGTAAAAAAATATTTCGTAGTAAATCTGATTAATCGTCGATGAATTTTTTACATTCGATTGATCGGATATTTTATTCGGTGGGTAAGACCACTATTGTGCAGCCACTCTCAAAAACTGAAGATCGGTGTCCGATTGGTTAAAATAAACTCGGATTACCGAAGTAATTTAAATACAAAAAAAATATCGGACTAATATTAATTGCGTTTTTTTAAAAAAAACTCAACGAGGTTAACTATATATAGTAATATCATTGTCTCCTATATTTTATTGTAATTTTTTTTACATGAAATAATATAATACACAAAAAACAAACTTTGTTAGAGAGTAACATTAGAATTTCCGAATTGGTTAGCTATATTTTCTCTCAAAATAGTAATATATAGAAAGCTTAATATTGATTTTCATATGGCGTCTTTTTAAAATGAGATTTAAGTCTCCATGGCAGGTTACACGTAATTAACCAGAAGTGTATTTGTGTTCCTTTCTATTGAAAAGACGCCATATATACATACAATAATAATAACCTTTTTATGAATGAGAACTTTCAATATATAAGTTATGTAGCCTTTTAAGATAAATAAACTAAAAGGATGATGACATTTAAAAAGGTTTTGGTGATTTATGGCATTCCCCTTATATCAACCAATCAATTTTGGGATATTTTTTTGGATGTGAATTTTTGAATTTTTGTTTATAATAACTAATTTTTAAAGAACTAACTTAATATAGTAATAGATAGACTCCGATAAAAATTTCCCAAATTGGGTATTCCCCCGATATTTTTCACATTTTCGCACGCCTGATGGCACCAAAACAAACATATTTGACATGTTTGACACGTGTATATTTAAATACCCAAAATATGGGTTACTTGCCGATCATCAAAACTAAAAATTTTATTATCCTGTATATAAATAAAAAGGAATTTTTTAAAAAAATCCTTGCAACCTTTGTTGTATAAGTGAAAAAATGTGCCTCATTACTTAAATCCATGAAAATCATTTAAAGTTTTTTTGTCATGATAATCTCCTTTGAAAAATTTATTAATGAGTTAAGAGAAGGAAATGATGATGATGGCGTATATTTTTTTTTTTCAAGAAGATAATACACCATGTCATAAAGTAAATGGATGAAAGAAGAAAATAATGTTATGGTTCTTCCCTGACCTTCCCAGGCCCAGATCTTGAAAGATTTAAAAAGAAGACTCAGATTATTTTAATACTAAATTAACCAGGAATAATTAATAAATTAATAGATATCATTTAGAAATTGATCAATTTTAAAAAATACAATTGTTTGTAAACAACAGGTTTTTTTTTTTTTATATGCAGTGAAACTTTCGGTATATCTTGATAATGTTGATCGGGATAATAATTTGATATATTATATTTGACAAATAATTTTTTAAAAATTTTTTTACGTTATCGAAAAAAAATTTTTATAATTTATAATAATAACAAATAATGTCACCACTATCTAAAACTTTTGGCTCACAAACTTTGGTAGATACAACATCACAAACTACTAAAAATGCTACATCGTCTTCTCAAATATTCACCAAAGAAACAGTACCATCAATTCTCGAAATAAAAAAACAGATTCCTTCACAATGTTTTTCTCCATCAATATTAAAATCACTTCAATATGTAATTTTAGATTTATCAATAATAGCCGTATTGTTCTTTTTATTTTTTTTCATTGATAAAACAACCTTGATCCCTGAAATCGTCAAAGATTTATTAATTCTTCCAATCTACTCGTTTGCCCAAGGAACAATGTTCTGGGCAATATTTGTATTGGGACATGATTGTGGGCATGGAAGTTTCAGCCGTTATCCTTTGTTTAATGATATAATTGGTACTTTTCTACATCTTTTAATTCTTGTTCCATATACTCCTTGGAAGTTAAGTCATCGTCACCATCATAAAAATACTGGTAATATTGATAAAGA